CTGCAATGCCTTTTTGATCCGTCGCTGGCTGCACCAGTCGACTAAACTCGACATATGGCATAGGACAGGCACAATCCTGGCGGCATGTATGACTGAAGACGAGAAAAGTGCATTGAAACACCCAGTCTGTTGACCAAATGCTTGTCGCGGCAGCTAGCATCGTGCTAGTCCCCGTGCATACTTTCAGCCATCAGCCCGAATTCCGCGGCCATCGTGGCGCACGTAGCCTGACAAGGTAAGCAGACCAGCAGGCAGCTCCGGCACCACATGCCAGCCTTGGTTGGAGGCTCCCTGAGTGAAGGTGACACGCGCGCCTTGTGAAAGCTGGGCAGTGACAGGAAGAGGAGGGGATGTGGTGGAGGTGGCGATTTGCGTGCGCGCGGCGTGCCTGGAACAGGGCCTTGAAGTGAAAAGGCGGCATCGGAGGCCTCAGCATCCCCAATCTGGAGTCGAAGAAAAACCCGCAAGATTCTCCCTCTTGGTTTCGCGCAGTCTGTGGGAAACGCACTGGATCTGGAGTCACCTTCGCTCTCGACAGAACACCACCAAGGCAGCCTTGAGCATGATTGCAATCTTTACAGCAACACAAGGCCCCAGAGGCTCCAGCTCTCCAGTGGCTTGGCGCCTCTCGAAACGGCGAATTGTTACTTTCTGCGCATGTTTCACTGTGCATCACCTTTCCGGGGCTTTGGAGGCTTGGAGGCCTCGGACCGCACACCTGCGACACCTGCGGCACCTGCGGCTCCGGCGGCACTCTTTGCACCTGCGCCGCCGGTGCCATAGACGACAGATGGCCTCAACACCGACCAACAAAAGCCCTGGAAAGTTCGGCTCTGCATGGCTCCGCTCCGGCTCAGTCTGGCACACGGCTTCGTGCGGCACTCCTTTGTTCCGATTCGGCCTTGGGGGAAAGCATGTCGAACAGCAGTTGGAGTGCAAGGACGCGAGTCTTTTGCCTTCCCCCTGATTCAAAGGAAATTTCAACAGCGTTTTTAAGTGTCCGGGACTATGGCACCTCCGTGCTTCGCGATGTGGAAGGGACATTCCTCCCAACCACCTTACAATGGGACTCCTAGACTCCAACCAAGAAGCTCAATTCAGAGAAACTTTGAAACTCGTGGTGTGCAGAAATGGGACGCACACCTGACGCGAAATCAGGAGCTTCTCCTGGTCTACATCCTGACTCAACATGCTGGCTTTCGAAGCACAACACATACCTGCACGGTGTCCTAACTCCAGCAATGAATCAGAATCTGCTTGCAACGGTCGATCAGCAAGTATTCGGCAACATGCCCGAGCTCACATCCTGCAACTGTTTCTCCAGGTCCGCGATGTCTTGCCAAGACCTCCAAGAAAAGTTTCCAAGCATGCACTCTTCCATCAACCTTTTCGAGGTGAAGTTGCTCGCCCCTCTCTCTCTCGGCTTGCCTGAGTCTTTCCGAGCGCATCGACAGCAGCTTTGCTTTGTCCGCCTTCAGAACCAATGGCATGTACTGGCGCTTGCAACCGGTTTGTACACGGATGGAACGACTGTTGGTATGGCAGCTTGGTTCCAGGAACGTTCACGACCTCATAACACGCCAGTGGCTTACTCCCTTCCAGGCATCAAGTCGCCAGCCTGTGCCGACTATGCGTTCAAGTGAGGCCCTCACATACACACTCTCTGAAACATCTCCGAAACTCTCTCCATGCTTCTGGCTGTGAAATGAAAAGAAAAAGGCAAGGCGTCACGTTTCGAGCGAGTGATCAAGCAAAGCACGTGCGGCCGGAGACACGCCCGGCCTAACAATATGACCAGAAGGTTGGGAGCATCAGCTGCGCGAACAACACAACAACACAACAACAATAACAGAACAGCAACGCATCCACGACACGGAAACCATGGAAACCATTGAAATTAGACGTACTCCGTAGAAACCATGGAAACCGTAGATACCATAGAAGCCACGGAGTTGATGAAGACCATATGGAACAACGTGAAATAGCTGTGGACGTGGAACGCAACATAAGCAAGCCCGTTCCGAAACCGTGGGCGCATGGTGAATCCAAAAACGATGCCGCCCCCCCCCCCCCCCCCCCGGTCCCCCTCTTCAGCGGGCAGCCTCGATGGCCGTCAGCGCCAGGCCCCTGTCCTGCTCGCACTGGCGCTGCTTCTCCAGCAGCGCCTGGCACGCAGCCAAAAATTTCGCAACTGCAGCATCATCAAACCAAGCTCTTGAAGCATTTCAGCTTCATGTTTGCATGAGTGTGTGTCCAGCACTCACTGCAAGAGCAGAGGAAAGAAGGCTACACTCACAGGCACACCAGCGAACCCTTGCAAAAACAACTTCAAGCGTATGGGACAGCTATGAACAGCTGCTACCCCAACCGTCCTGCTGCTTCGTCTGGGCTTCCAGCTTCTGCTCGAAAACCCTTAGATCATCACAGCTCGCATAGAAGCCCTGCAGGCCCTACAGCCCTAAAGGGGGATGAAATCACTCCTTCCAGACATTTCTTGGAGCACTCACTACACCCTGCCTTGTGTACTTCCTTGTGTCATTTTGCACCTCTCCTCTCCTAGCAACAGAAGACCTACCAGAGCTGTTGTTGAGGCTCCGCTCCAGCTTTCCACGCAGCTCCTCTGCAGAGAGATGCAGGAGTACCGTGCACTAGACAGAAGACGTACTCTTCCACGATCAGAAATATAGGTTTTAACCCTAGGACCGACCGGCATGTCCACCACAAAGATAAGGAATCTCAAATGCCAAACAATGTGTTTTGAAATGGGAGCTCGAGTTTCTAAATGCTCGCACGCTGCTCACTTTTGGCACTCGCGTGGCGAGGGGACAGCGGTCTTAGGTTGTGAAGGGTCTGCCGCTGCCCACTCCTGTTTTCCAAAGTTTGCCGCTCTCCAGTCTTTGCTCATTGGGAATTTATTAATTTATGTGCCCTTCATTTCTGCAACAGCATGACCAAGAATCGTTCTTAACCCTGCACCGACTAAATCCACACCATTCACAACATGTGCCCATCCAAGGTGCAACCACGTACACCTGGCATCGCCTGGCCCTGATGATCACAATGGCGCTCTTAAGAATATAGAAACAGTAAACATGCAAACATATATTGAAGTCTGGGCTTTATATCTCCCAATATATGTGTGCGTGTGTGTGTGTGTGTATATATATGTATATATATTTAGATGCTACTCCCACCCGAAATCAAAATCCGGGGTCTTGTGCAGAGAATCTTGGATCCAAGATGCTCTACACGCCACAGGCCACATTCCCCTGACAATCTTGGATCTTGGATCTTGGATCCGGGCCGGATTTACGTGTAAATCCAAGAACATAAAAAATCCTGCACATCTTGGATCCAAGACGCTCTCGAGAAGACCCCCTGACAATCTTGGATCTTGGATCCCGGGCCGGTTCGACGTCTCAATCCGGCTAAGTCTTGGTCCGCACGTGTATGTCTGTACAACGACTTGCTTACCCTCTGGTATGCTATTGGGACGTATACTAAACCTGGTTCCCTAGTTCTTTCTTTTTTGGGGGGTGGGCTGTGGGCTTACCATTTCTGCTACCCCTCCCCCACCCCATAAACCTAAGTTGCATATACTTTTTGAAACCAGTTGCTTTGGACGAGTATCACATATAAAACCTTATGTACTTGTGAGTCTTGCAGGTAATTTGAACATGAGCATTATCCTTGAGAAATGATAACCATGTTGGTAGACCTGTAGGAAACATGGAGAATGAAAAGCAAAATACTTGCGGGCAACTACTAGCAGCCTGTTGGTAGGTCCCAGGAAATAGTGAAAGGACATTTGCTCACAGTATTCTCGCGTCCCGGGACTTACAGTAAATGATTTTTTTGACTACGCAGTGACTCACTAGATGAAATACAGAGCACACGCGTGTTTTGTGTGCAGCACACTGCATCGCTCTGTATCAAAAGAGATCCGTGGCTTCTGAGTTCCTAAAGCCGCCTCGGGCGGTACGTGAAATTGGAATCAGAGGCCTTGCTTCTGTACTCCCCGGGCCGGGGGGGCGGGCCACTTTGAACTTTGAGATGAAAGATTCACAGAAACATGTCACTACTACGTCAAAACCCCACTAAAAGTGGGACTATGACTACGCAGTGACTCACTAGATGAAATACAGAGCACACGCGTGTTTTGTGTGCAGCACACTGCATCGCTCTGTATCAAAAGAGATCCGTGGCTTCTGAGTTCCTAAAGCCGCCTCGGGCGGTACGTGAAATTGGAATCAGAGGCCTTGCTTCTGTACTCCCCACCCCCATGCCCAAAATGGCTCAGGGGCAGGCGGGAGGGGAATGCGAGATGATGCTACTCATCAAGCTTCTGGCGAACTGTCTAGGAGACACCTGAGCTTGTTTCGTCAGAAAGAATTTGCTTCGCAGACCAGCAAGATGTAGATGCGGTCGAAAGGTCCTGCTGCATAGACCATGTCCTGGACATGTGCTCAGATCGAAAGGTGTGCACCCCCAAATGAGCACTTGAGTGGCTTTCCTCCATTGAGTGCCATACTGGCACATGTGAGCTCGCACCAGATGCACATGCTTCTTCCTCAACAGCCTTTGAATGGGCGGTGCACTCCAAATCATACTATTCAGAGGGTTCACTAAGTATCCTGCAATGTTACAAGCCAGGCATTTGCGAACGACCTTGCAGGCGCCATGAAGCATATTGTTTGCTGCATTGACCTTTATCTCATCCCGCGGCTTCAACCCTGTTACTCCCATGACCTCACTAGGCGTGGCACGCCTCAGGGGCTCCGGCATACCAGATCCCGGCTTTCCACGCCTGGCACGGCTCCAGGTTTTGCAAGGAATATCTATGCCGACGAGGTTGAAAAAATGCAGCTGGCTAATGATGTCGTTCCAAGCTTTTGGCTTCCCCAGATCATTCTGCTCTGAAAACACCTGGTCAACAATTGCGGAATTTCCCCCTATAGAAGCTATGTACTTTGCACATTCGCTTTGGCCGCCGAACAAGCTCAGGAAGTTGGGACCTTGATGCTCCGCGGTAGCACAACATTGCCACTGTGGTACAAGCGTACACGAATATTCTCCCCAAAATCCCGGAACTTGCCCTCGTGTTGGGATATCAGCTGCTGCATCCTTCCAGGCTTGTCGTAGATCCTGGCGCTGGTCTCCGATGCCCATCTGCCCCTCCGTCGAATCTCCTCGATGCTCCTCAGTCGCTGCAAGTGGTCTCTGCTTGCTCCCCCATGCCGGTTCTGGTATGGGCTGGTAGCAAGCTGCTGAATGCCCAATGCCACGACACACTCCCTCCAAGTCTTGAGGTAGGCTTTGGCCGTAAAGTCCCACAAAGGCGCCTCCGCACCTTTCTCCATCCTCTGTTTGCACGCCTGTGCATGTAGGAGTGAAGGTAGGAAAGGGGCTCGAACATCGTCGAGGAGGAGAACCTCGTCGTAGATCCCGGCCTTCGACGACTCCCCCCGCTCGAGTGGCCCCAAAACGATTACCGCCTTGTCGAACTCGTGGTTTGGCATCAGGACATCCTCGGCACTTACTCGCATCATCTCTCCTGGACGCGCGTACGTGCTGAAGGTCACCTCGTTGTACAGCGCCATGCTCCTTTGCCCCATCTTCAGCATCACCCCGCTGATCGCACCTTTCAAGAACTCCAGCATGGGCATTCTTGTCTGCGCAGGGGCCAGCTTCCTCCAGCCCTTCAAACTCCTGCGAAAGCGAGGCACGGCTAGCATGCCACTCCTGGCGAACTCGGGGCGCTCGAACTCGACCGCCGCCATCAGCTTCTCGCCGAAGTTGCTGCCGTAGCCGTCTAGGAACAGGATGTCCCCGTAGTCGCACAAGGCTTCGTCCAGCTCCTTTTCGTTGGACAGAGCGAGGTCGTACTGGACGACGAAGCTGTAGAAGCCCTCCAACTTGCTCAAGTAGTCCTTCCTTTGCGGCTCTCGCACGCTGCTCTGCTCCAGGAGTCCACGCTCCCCCCTGGTCGCTCGCAAACGAGCCTCGTACTTCTTCTTGCGCTGGATGCCCCTTTGCTGCCGCCTCTTGTGGCTTGCCAAGAGGCTCCTCAGGTCCGCCCGGCTCGGCTTCCCCGATCTCAGAGGTGACGAACTTCTCTCTTTCTGCAGCACGTCCCTCTCGGGGAGCTGACCGGACGACTGCATGCGGCGGTTTGCAGCCTTCGCCTCGTCTCGGGTGAAGACCTCCACCTTCCTCTTCTGAGGACGTCTGGATGCCATGCGTTGCCGAAAAATCTCTGAGCAGGGCACTCTCAAAAAGGTTTCGATGGCTATTCTCGTTCTTGCGTACACCTACTTTGGGCTCCCATCTTCGGCTATCCTGATCGGCAACATTCCACTCGGATGGAACCCACCGAGCACAAAGACGAATATTGGAAACCAGAACATGAGCACTGATCCTTCTGATGAGCCGCAACAGACTGAAAGAGCTGCATCTCCCCTTCTGCAATGCAAGGACCACGGACATGTTATCATTCAAAATGACAAAACGTTGCCCATGTCGGCGACTGTCCCGAGCGATGTGCTTCACTGCTCCTAAGATGCTTCGCGCCTCTATCAGGTGAACTGGCTCCCGATGGTGTACCGGACAGCACCACACTCGCCGCCACTTCTCCTGACTCATGACAGATGGTTCGACATCGGGAAAGCGGGGATCAACCTCAACATGACCCATGACTTCTCCGTCAACTTCGGGCTTGACAGTCAAGGGATCCTCGAAGACCATGCTCGTGTCGAGCGCCTGGCGACGCGGCGCCAGGTGCTTCCCACTCCCCAAACGGAACCTCCATCACTCATCATGCCTCCCCAAAGTCCGCGCTGTGTCGGACCCCTGCACACTAGACATTACAGCATACCCAGAAAGACAAGCATCCGTGCAAAAAATGGTGTCGCTCCACGCCTGCTTGAAATTTCCGAAGCCCAAGACCATCAAGTGTCGAAAATGGTAAAGCTCCTGAAGTACACTACCCCAAACTCGGGTACGGCGAGTGTAGTTCTTCTCTATGAAGGCATACGCGTAGCGGATGATGCCCATCAAACCCCGGTGCAATAAGGAGCGGACTGTGACATGCCCAATCACCACTTGTAGCTCCTGACCGGAAAGCTTTACTCCTCTACATATCGCCGACAAAGCTCTGTCCAGTCTCCAATCTCTCTTTGGTGTAGGTAGCACATGTCCGGCCATCCCATCTATTCTGACCCCAAGACTTTCTGCAAGGCTAGCTGCTTCCGTCACGTCATGAGTGTCCAAGCCTCGCTGGTGTAGGGCACCCATGACAGCGTCCTGGTCGGCAGCGACCTTGTCCAAATCTGTACCCACATGATTATTGTTGTCTGCATAAATCAACATTGCCGTGGTGTTGGACTCTCCCTTGGCACCCAGCTTTGGGATCGGTGTACGATCTTGCATAAGGTTCACGTGAGGCAAAGCCGAGGAAGCAATATGTACGTGTGCCTTATGTGCCAAGTGGAAAGCCCAGCTGAAGCCCATGGGTAACACGGCCATGCACGGATAAATGGGCGCCGCGCTCAGGTCGATCAGCTCTGCCAGCTCCTTTGGTAGTTCACCAAGAATCTGGTTTAGGATGTGGGGATCGATCTCGGGCAAACAGAAGTACTCTCCCAACTCCCGACTGATGCCCAGGCGGTAGAAGTAGTCACGTACATCTTCTTGGGCTACACTCCAGCCTCGACCAGGTTTCTGCGGACCCGAGGAGCGTGCAGGGAGGGGTACGAAACAAACGATTTGTTCTTCTGGCGTCAATGATGAGTCGTTGCTTGTTGTTTTTCTTTGTAACAACGAATGCACCAATCTGCACACGAGGTTTGACGGTAAGGTTGCAGCTATAGAGCTCGGCAATGAACCGATGATACAGCCATGTATCATGCAGCAAGACTGGGTCGATGTGACACTCTCCCTCAAGGCCTTGCTCAAGCACTGCAGCCCTTTCTTCTGGTGAGAGCAAAGTTTTGGACCCTGCGAACCTCATCTTCCGGCAACACGTCTAGAAGGCTTACTGGTTCACTCTGCCCTCGGGGAAGAGATAAACGCTCTAGGACCAAACTAGCCAGTGCCCCTGGGCTGTCTCCATAACCAGCCCTTCTTGCCAGAAGCTGCCGAAGCGCTTCTTGGTCACTCATGTCCTCAACAGGCCTTGCGCGTTGCATATGACAACGAAGAATGTGATCAAGCCCTTCAGCCTGAGCACGGTTTAAGGGTCGTTGAGGCCAAGACTTCTCATCTACAAAACCGGCCATCTGATTGAGACTTCGCACAGTGGCCTCAGCTCGACAAAAGGAAAAATGGCGGAAGTTGACCCTTCTCTGCGACCTCCTCGATCGCAGTTCAGATCCTGCTCCCTCATAGCCCTCGGACTTCGGAAGAGGTAGTGGAAAAAGATCCCCATGCCGATGTTGAGCGCTGTTACAAAAACCCGCAGTGCCATCAAAATGCCCCAAACCCGGAAGTACAGCACTGTCATACCCCCGGGACTGTACAGGCTTAGGGACTTTCATGGGCTCCTTTGGGCGTGCCCCGACCCTTGGCTTTTGCCTTTGACGATGCTCCGGCCTCGTCCTCTGTCACAGCAGCCTGGTTGCGCCGATGACGCTTCTCTTCGGCAGCCAAGCGCTGTTGCTTGAGGACCTCGGCCTTGCTGGCTGCCTTCTTCGCGGCAAAAGAGGTGAGAGCAGGGTCGATCATGGCGCCGTCGCTGGCCTCCCGCACACCAAGCAGGTCCTCAGCACCCTCATAGCTGGGCGCCTCGGGGCGCCCATGGTGGGCGAACTCAATGAGTGCCCGGCGCCTGTTTAACGCCTCTGCAGCTGCGAGGGCGGGAGCATTCAACTGGTCGTAGCAGATCATGAGATGCAAAGCCCTGCACAAACTAGAATGCTCATGCACTGACCTGTCCGTTGATCGCACGCCCGACTTCTTGATCCAGCTCTCGTGGTGCTGCAGGAAGTCCTGTCCGGCCCGCCTCAACTGACGCATGTCTCGCATCACGGTGCGGGGCCCAGCCAGAGGGAAGTCCTCATAGTCCACCTCCTCGCTTTCCGGCACCGCTTCTGCCACAGTGCGCCACCGCTCTTCTGCAGAGTCGAAAAGCACGGGCAGCACCCGCACATCCCTCTCAGATCCTTTGTTGTCAGGAGGCGACAAGAGCCTCTTTGCGGCCTCAAGACCAGCTCGCGACACTTGTCTCGCCAGCACCACCTGGCCTCCCTGCAAGCCATCAACGAAGATCGTGTACTTGTCACTCCCAGCGTTCACGATTGCACTGTCGGGGGGCGGAAAGACCTCAGCTCCCAAAGAGCCAGGAGAGCCCCCAAAGACCTGCATCCAGGCAAGCTCGCTGAGTGGCTGGGCTGCCGGCTGCTGCGCGCCGCCAGGTAGCACATCCAGTCCTCCTGTCCCTACCTTGCCCACACGTCGAACATGTGCACCGCCGCCCTTACTGAGCTTCTCAGCGACCTGGGCGTAGTGTCTGAGCTCTTCAGCAGTGAACTCTCCTCCACCGCTGTGTCGGGGCAGGTAAGTGTCGGCATCACGGATGCCTCTCGGCAGTCGGCCTGGCTGCATCCTCTTCACTTCCACGAACATGTTACCCTCCTCGAGGTCCACCTCGTTCAAGTCCCGATCGGGAGTCAGGACGAAACAGTGGTTTCCCTCTGTGCACTTGACGACTTCGCGAAAGTGCAAAAGATCTGGATCATCCCGGAAGCGCACGAGCGCGCCGTCTTGCTGCAGCCACTGCGGAGGGTTCGGGGTCGACATTGACATCTCCAGCCTGTTGTTCAAAAAGGCCTAGCTTCAATGGAACAGCGTCAATCACGGGCGGTGTAGTAACACGTCCCGGCGGCTCAGCACGCAGCAGTCGGTACCACAAAAATATGCAGAGAGTCACGCCGCAGATCAAACCACCAAGAAAACCAGCCACGATGGCCAGCAAGTGCTGACAATCACGTCGAGTCTCAGCTGCACCTAGATCTCTGAAGCAGGCCTCCTTATCTCGCTGGCACTGTCCTATGACTTGATCCTTCTTAGCCACGCCCTTCTCACAAGTGCCGTTCTTGTATTCTGTTAGCCAATATACGGCCACCCGGAAAAGATCAACCCCCACAGCGCGGCACAGGGTCCAGTCCATGTGCGCCCTTCTACCCTTGCCACTTTGAACTTGAGCCAAAACGTGTATGTCTGTACAACGACTTGCTTACCCTCTGGTATGCTATTGGGACGTATACTAAACCTGGTTCCCTAGTTCTTTCTTTTTTGGGGGGTGGGCTGTGGGCTTACCATGTCTGCTACCCCTCCCCCACCCCATAAACCTAAGTTGCATATACTTTTTGAAACCAGTTGCTTTGGACGAGTATCACATATAAAACCTTATGTACTTGTGAGTCTTGCAGGTAATTTGAACATGAGCATTATCCTTGAGAAATGATAACCATGTTGGTAGACCTGTAGGAAACATGGAGAATGAAAAGCAAAATACTTGCGGGCAACTACTAGCAGCCTGTTGGTAGGTCCCAGGAAATAGTGAAAGGACATTTGCTCACAGTATTCTCGCGTCCCGGGACTTACAGTAAATGATTTTTTGGCATCACCCGATGCACTCGAACGCTTCCTAGCCTCAAGCCCTGCAGGGCTATAAGGTTTTCATCCAAAAGGTGATGCCTAAACCTTCAACCCTACACCTTTAAACCCTATCACCCGTGAGGGCTTTAGAGATAAAGTGTATGCCTTCAGCGCCTATAGGGTTAAAACAGTTGAACCTTTTAGAGCCCGAAAGGGTTTTAGGGCTAAGACACCTAAAGGGCTTAGGGTTAAGGTCTAAATGCTTAAACCTTATACCATTAAGGTTTACGCTCTGTCCCTTTTGAGGTAAACCCTAAACATTGAACTTGAAACCTTTGCAGGGCAAAGATTAAGGGTTTAGACTTAATTGCTCAACCCTAAGGGTTTCGGGGCTTTTCTTTAAACCCCTAAACCCGTAGCCGATAGGGTTTAAAAGAAAATACCCTCCCCCCGTTTATATGCAAACTTAATGCTTATAAGCAATATGTTGTGTGACGACAGCATTTTCAAACCAAGATTAAGCACGCAGATTACGTACCAACTCATACATCGTTTACATGCCTAGACCTCAAGAACCCTTAAGGTTTCAGCTCGGTTTACATCTGAAACCCTAAACCTTTCAACCTTAACCCCTTGGGGTTTAAAGGTTTAGAGCTTAGGTTTAGTTGCCGACTTAGGTTTAAAGGCCGAACTCTTAGACCTAAACCGTGAAGCCTTAACCCTGTAGGGTAAAGGTTAGGGGTTTAGGTTTGATTGTCGGCTTAGGTTTAGATGCCTAAACCTTAAACCCTAAATCGTTAAGCCTTAACTCTATAGGGTTTAAAGGCTAGAGGTTTAGGTTTAATTGCTGAACCCTGTAGGGTTTCGGACTTCTCCATAGGGCCCTGAACCCTAACCGATGGAATTTTCAGGAATAAGCTTTAAACAATCAAGGAGCAGAGCGGAGCGGAGAGGCCAAGTATATGTGGGTTTTACAGAACGGACACTACGTTGTCAATACCGCTTCTGTTTCGCATGGCATCCTGACCAGAATACAATGCGTCGGCAACTTCCATACACTGTCCTTACGGCGGGTCCTAAAAGGGTACCATATATACATATGTGTATAGATGATTGCGGCTGGCGGTTCGCCAGTCTCACCGTATCCTCCCCCCCCCCCCTTCACCATCAAGCACCCTTACATGGGCTGCTCCTTTCCTCGCTACGAGGTGTTTCTAAGTTTCGCAAAATTTGCGAGACTGTAAAGCACGCCGAGCTAAGCCTTAAAACCATAAACTCTAAACCTGAAACCCAAAACCCCAACCCCCCAACCACACCACAAGGGGTGGAAGGGGGACCGTAAACCTTAAACCTTAAACCCTAAACCTACGCACCGTGTGACAGCTTAGAAACCCTAAACCATTCTAAACCCTAAGACTTAAACCCTAAACCCTAACCCCCCCAACCAGGGGACTACATCACATGGAGGGAGGGTACCACGGGGTGGGGGGGGCACCGGGCGTGCCGTGTGAGCTGTGCGTTCTCCCTCCATGGTATACGCACTCCACGCCCTTTCCTAACCCTAAACGCCTGACACCCTAAAGCCGAAGCCCAAACTCTAAAACCCGACAACAATAATCCCCTGAGGCCCAAACCCTAAAAACCCCAAGCCGTAAAAATTCCACCCCACACGGGGGCGGGGGAGGGATGGGAGGTTATGGGAGGGTCCATGGCTCTCCTCCACGGCCTTCTGGTCTTTGAGCAGGAGCTCCCTCTCCGCCTTGACCTCTCGAACTTTTTGAACGGTTGAACGGTGACGTGCGGCATGAGTGCCAAGATGTGCAAGACTGTGCCAAAATTCTCAAGCTGACTCGGCAAGACATTCACAGCACAAAGAAGCCTTTGTCAGGACATCCCGCCGTTCCTCATGAAGATCGGAGTACCTTGGCAACTCTTGAGGCAAACCAGAACGTACGTTCTCTGATCAGCCTCAGCAGACTGAACAGGATTCGCCATTTCATGCAGAGGAAACGTGGGTGGCTGGGACTTGCAACTTGTCTCTGTCCGGGTTCTCGGGCGGTACCGGCATGCGTCGCATCTCCTGACATAGCAGAATGCTTGACATGACTCACTGCTTTCCGACTTCGGCTAAGGTGACACTTTGTCCTTCTCACCCATGCCGCAGGCTTGCCGGAGAGCATCCAAGTCCTGCGTGGCGAGAACACAGTCGACCACATACAGAACACGAGGCAGCACAGTCAAACATGTTCAAGCACGCGTGAGAAGCCTCCTCGACGAGCTTCACTTCTCGCGTGACGAAGACCAACTCATCCTCGCGTCTTTGCCAAGAACAAGATTTGGCCAGAAACCTATGAAAATCTGTGAACCTGACAGCTTCCACAGGTCAAAAAGCGCTGCTTGTCATGCTCACCTGCAGGTATGAGATCCGGCGCTTGGTGGCAGCGCCCTCCGACTCCATGTTGCGATGGCGTTCCTGAACCTTGTTGAGAGCAGGGAGTCCCTCCTTTGCTCAAGTACCCAGCACAGCACTGCGCCTCGTCCAAGCGCCCTTTGGCTGCTCGCAGCGCTTCCTTCGAGTATCTTCGAGTGCAAGCTTAAAAAAAGCAAAAAGATAGCGGAGATCATCGTAACTGCCGTAACTGCCGTAACTGCCGAAACTGCCGTAACTGCCTTCCCAGGTGAAAGCAACAAAGCTGTTGTGCCTCGAGCTCACGTCGGCGGTCCAGCCTTGCAAATCACGGTTGAAGGTGCCGTTTCAACGAACTTTCCGACAATCTGCCCCAAAGGCATTATCCTTTTGGTGGTGGACTGGCTTTCCAGACGCCGACGCTCCTCGAGGACCTGCAGATTTCGCAATCGTGACCAGCTGTGAAACTTCGACAAGCAATCCTGTTAATCTTGCGACCCGCTCAAGAGGTCGCAGGAATGTTATACGTGCATGCCCCTCGATGTCTCTACCTGGTGCACCTCTATAATTCTTGCCCAGCTAGAAGCACAAAGGACAGTACCGAAAACACATAAGTATCTATCTGGGCTGTTGTCGCTTTCCAGCCTCCTGGCAGAGCTTTCGTAGCTCATCTCCAGGCCCCTTGCAAGCTTCAGTGATGGGGAGGGAATGAGGATCATATTTGCGAGCCATGGCACAACACTGGATGCAGTCGTGAATCCGAACTAGCTGCGCGGCTTAAACGTTCAGGGTGAATTTCGAAATCATTGCTAAACTTGCAAAATTGTTCTTGTCTGAGGCAGGACGAAGCCGCCCGAGCTGGAGAAACGTGAGCAACGAGCACGCAGACACAGCTCACAAAAGAAAAGCCTGTTTGAGCCCACACAAGATGCCAGACAGTGCAAACTCGCACACCAACGGACCAGCAGATGAAGAAACGAGAGAGACAGCTCGAGCGAACGACCAATGAGGGTGTGTTTCCGCAACCCCACATCGTGCACCCACATTTCATGTGTCAAAGTCAGGAGGCATGAGCCATTCAGATAAGAAGACCTTTGCAGCCGAAACGAAAGCCTCAGCTGGTCTACTGACGAACAATGCTAAAACCAGGTAGCCAGAAGCCAACACGACGCGTGACAAAGCCCAAGACCCACAGACCTGCAGATTGTGGAGAGCTCTTGCCACAGCTGCTAAGACTTGACAACCAGCTTCGGATGAAGGACGTGAGGGGCTTACAGTATTTGAATTTCACGCAAGTCACAGAAATAGTTGCGGGAGAATCTCGACGTGCTCAACTTGCATTCTTGCACAAAAATCAAGTGAATCTGTAAGGATCGTGCTTCGCGAGAGACGAGCTTGAGCACCGTTGCCAGCTGGCCAAGCTTCCTGGCCACGCTGTTCGACGGATGCTTGCAGCGGTGCAAGAGGTCCCAAAACTAAATAGCAGCAGCACTTGGAGCAGTCTACAACAGCTTCAATTGATGGTCCACACCAATGGAGAGTCAAGCGAGTCGAGGCACACGTCTCAGGTAGTTTCATCTCCGCTGTGCGCTCTCGCCCTCTTTGGGCAGCAAACAATGATTCCCAGAACTCCAATCAGCATCCTGTCCTAAAACCTCATGTACGAACCTTCTCCTGCCGTTGCCAAAGGCCGAGGGGTTGAGTCTCGCCCACCTTAATCACACTGTAACCAACCCAACAATGAAGCAGTAGTGGCAAAAGCATCTTACAACACTACAGTTACAGAACTCACAAGAGCCAGCCATGTCACGCTGCACACGATTCTTGATGTGCATGTGCTGATATTGATATGTCTGGTGCTCCCAACCCACAAACCTGCAGAAGAACACTCACCATCCCCTGGAAGGACTGACAGTAAGATCCCAACACATTGCAACATACTACTTCCGAGCCCGGAAACACACGCAGCAGTCTTAGTCGGAGACGCGCAGGTGCCGCACCCAGTGGAGAAGCACTGAGCACAATCAACACACATTCATGTTGGACCAAAGATGACGACAACTGGATCACGGTTGCTGTGGCCGTACAAGACACACTTACAACTTTGCCTGTGCAGACCTCCGAGTGCCTTGCTGAGGTAAACCGGTCTCTGAATCTGTCAGGCCACCTGTACGACACGCGGCCCAAAAGGCCATCTCACAGGAAGCAGCTACTTGAACTGGGCAACATCTTCTGTAAGCTAGAGGTGTGGGCATGAAGCGAGCTGCAGAACCACAGAGTGTTCCGCAACCAGCCACCAAGCAGTGTGACTCAAGCCATGTGAAGAGCTTTCTTTTCCATGACGAGATGCCCGCATGTTGCTACCGCTGCTCTGCTGCACCGAGCCTGCCGGAGGACCACGAAAACTGGCACTGGTGTCAATAGTGCTGAAGTCCTCGGTCAGCCCCAGCATCCTATGGGAACTCGGCATGAGGCGCAAGGACGCCGCTGTAAAGCCCATGCACGCTTCCCACACTTAGTAGCCACAAACATGTGTGTTACGTACCTCCTTTTGCCTCTGAGCAACCTCCTTGCGTGGCCGAACTTGCACGAGCAGCTCCACACCTCGTCATACGTGCTTTGGTGCGCAAGCTGGACTGTTCCTTCATCGACCTGCCCCCGTCTCAAATCTCCTTTGATGTCCCGTGTGCACTTCAGGGCTGTTTTTACTGAGCTAAGTTGTGAGCTTGTGAGCTTGGCCTTTGCCTTCCAAGTCCCCAACGAGAAGCCAAATTTGCCTGCTGCTCCACGTGCACCTCGACGGGCAAGGATTGGCCATTCCGAGCCTGCACACGAACGGGGCACAGCAACATGCAGTCATATCGCTGCAGACCGACAGGCTACACAGGCCCAATACATGCTCACAATGTACAAGACATTCAGCTTGACCTGGTCTGCGAGGGTCATGGCGCACACAAACTCTCTAAGCCTGCCAAGACGTATTCACGCCATGACACGTCGTGAGATGGACTGTGTTATTCTAGTGTCTACCCCGACAGTTTACAATGAAGACACCATATGATTCCATGTGGCATCATGTGACAGCCATTCTTAACTACATGCCATATGATCCAGCCGCATAGAATGCTGCACACCACCACGGAGCAGCCACCGAAGCCACACCGTGGTGCTTTTTCGACTGAAATCACGCCAGCTGCACGAAAGGCGACCATCACGGTCCAAATCTGACAGGTCCCAGATGGTTTCCAGCAGCTGCTCCTGTTGCTTCCCAAGACATCAACAGATCATCAACACATGATGAAAATGACGCGCGTATCAGCAACGACGGCAAGATTCAGGCACGAATGCCGATGCCATTATGTGCCTCCTTGTTGATCCCACTTGTCCTGCAATCCGGTGCGGCGCAGCAACCTCTGGCTCTCTGCTGCATCCACGAAACCATCTGGTCCACGTGACCTCGAAAACGTGCAAGAAACAGAAATTTGCACAGCGCACTGCGATGACGGTGGGAAGGCGCGTTCTGTATGGGAAGCAGCATTACATCAGATCCGAATGTTATGCTGCACCACACGTAGCACGCACCCCTTGCATCGGCACGCGAATCCTGCTAGGCTCTGTCACTGCTAATCTGGCCTTTCAAAGGTTTGCGCTAAGCGCTCACATTCCTCCTGCACACACGACGTGAGAGTGGCTGAGTGGCTCAATGGCTCAACTGATCTGCACAGCATACGGTTTGACATCTCGCAAGCGCACAACTTAACCTCCTACAACTCATGTCTGTAGCAACCGTGCACGCGCTGTGGTGCAACAATGCATCCTCTGAAAGCGCAGGAAGATCGCCGCTTGGTGTGGCAAGTGCCATAGCTCAATGCCAGCATTCAGAAGCTTGGTTGTTTGCTTGGGCGCTAGCATGGCTCCAGTAGTCACCGTGGCATTCTTAAGAGGTGAGTTTTGAAACTGGGCATGTTCTGCGAATTTTAAACAACCGGAACGCGTATTGCCAACGCAGCGAATGATGCGCAATGGGTTGTGCTGACCTCAATACATGCAATGCAAGCAACATCCAACATGGTACATCCTTAACTCTGGGAGCAACACAGCAGCATCAACACAACAATAAAAACTTCGCAGACTGTGTGGTCCTCAAATCTTTGTATGTGCTAGACAGGTCGCTGGCCGCCGACTTGAAGATTAAATTCAGAAGCGTCTGGAACAAGCAGACCCGGATCGGGCCTCCTTCCCCCGAACCCAACCCTTCCCCCTGACGCCACCCCCGCCCTGTGGGACCCCCCCCAATCGCTTGCAGGAGCGGCAAACCGATGCTGTGGAGGGTCCCGCCAGTCGGTGGCGTGCCCCTGCCGCCCCCCCCACCCGCCAACCCCCCACCCCACCCCACCCCACCCCCCAACCCCCACCCCACCCACACCCCATCCCCCAACCCCCGCCCACCCCCCACCCCCCCCCCCCCCCCCACCCCGACCCCCCCCACCCCCCCCCCCCCCCCCCCCCCCCCCCCGACCCCCCCCCCCTTTGCGAAACCCGCTTTCCTCCTCGGCTGCCGAGGCGGCGCGCGCAAGCGTTTACAATTAACGCATGACCACATGATATGAAAACCAAAACCATCTTCAAAGAACATGCACTTCGGCGCTTCCTGTGCGAGGGCCCAGCCAAACCTGCCGAGTACTTCACGGAGGTTTACCATTGGCCGCCTTTCCTGTGGGAGGGTATCAGAATCCTCCCGGCAAGACACTCGGCAGTGAAGAAACTTGGACAGCAACCGCGTCCACCCTCGGGTTTCTTACCTTGCTTGCTGGGCTTGAGCTGCGCGGAGAAAGCCTTCGGCGAAAAAAATAACAAGACCAACTGCAAGAGCCCCGGCGGGTCTCGATATGGCAACACACAACATCGTGCACTAATTAACCAACAAAAACAGGCGGAGCCAATCCGTCGTCAAGTCCAGTGACAAAAGGCCATGCCTGATCACATGCATGCGCGCAAAAACAAACAACCACGGGAAATGAACAAAAATCAAAATAACGAAATCACTACCAACGCTAGAAAGTCTGCTGATTGTTGTTTGCATAAAGCCGCGCAAACGCATCCGCGCTAAGCCGAACTGATGCAGTATTAGTGAGGACCTGCGGTTTGGGGCGCTTGGCCTGGCAGCCAAGAAGGGGTGCGATGCCCTCCCTTCTTTTGCTGGCATGCACGACTTGCACAGGTTGAAACCCGAAGATGCAAGGCCGTCGTTCACAAACGCTTAAGCAATAAAGACATGCTCCGAACTTTTGTCCAACACGAGCTCACAACTCTGGCAGGATTCTTCGCAAGTTTTCTTACCCGCCGGTATAAAGGCCTTCTCGCTCATGTCGTCTCAACACCATGCGCAGACCAGCAAGTTGTATTCCAGTGCCAGATGTAGCGATGCAGGATGCAATTCTTTTCATGAGATTCTTCAAATTGTGGGCTCGAACTTACATACTGGTTCGGGGCGCACCAATGGCATCGCCAAGCAAGTCCCATACGTGGCAGCGGAAACAGTCAGAAACACTGATGAGATGCTATCGCCTTCTGGCCACTAACTTGGATGATGGTTCGGCAAGTCGGCAAGTCGGCAAGTCAGCAGCCCTCACTCCTCGTGCCCGCCCATACTTCCCCCCTGCTGACATGCAGCATCATGAATACCCCAAGGCTGGAGAATGAGTCGGTACTTCGGACAACGAAGGGGCACACGACCAAGGTGTTGTTCAGAGATGTGAGGGGCGGAAGCCAGTTTCAAGCAATGTTTCAGGCAAACATGTCGCAGATTCTCCCTGGGACGGTCTTTCCATTCATAAGAAATACGGCATTATTTTCACGCCATCACCATGCGTTACCGGAGGACATGTGACCAGCGAGGATCACACCCGTGACCGTGGATGTGACCTGATGAAAATGTTTTGAATCCTCAAAGATGCCTTCGCATGCATAGTGAAACATGTGAGTGCATGAAATACTGCAAAACAAATCAAAATCATAAAATGGGGACTTTCTCTACGGCAACATAATCAACACCCCGCCTCGAAGCTACATTGAGCTCGCGGAATGTTTGCTTCGTTCGTTTTTGTGTGCCGGTGCCCCATAAGAAACAACAGCGTACCTAGTTCAAGATAGCACTCCAAAAGTTTCGGCGTCCTTCAAGCTCTGCGTGGAAGGTCTTTGGCTTAGCTACGGCTGCACTGTACAGCTACGGACTATGCTGCATCGGCTAGTAAGGACAGAGATGAGAATGCTTGACTGCCCCAAGCGGAGGCTTTCCAAGTTTTCAAGATGTGACGTCCCTGTCCAGCTGGACACACAAGAATTCAAGGAGTTGCCATGAGGCATACAAGGTCTCTTCAAGATCTTGCCACAGATTGAGATGGCCTAATCACCATTACCATCAGGACGTTGATGCCCTCTTCGGGTTCAGGGTGCTCCCACAGTACGAAAGTACTCCGCAGCCGCCGTGCCCCCTGATAGGGAATGAAGTCGACAGCATGGGGGAAGGGGGCTAATTGTGGACAGCATGGGGAAGGGGGTTAATTGCCCATCCATCCTGCTGCAGCTGCTCAATGGTGCCCTGGACCTGGGTGTTACTCGCTTTGAAGCGGGGGCCCTCCTCTTGGGCGCAGTCCACAACTCTCGAAAAAGTACGAAAACGGTAGATCGCCACTCGACCCTGATAGCCCAAGCCGCCGACAGGGAGGCGGATCGAAAAGACCCAAGCCGACACGCGAGATGAATTCCGGCAGCTTCAGCTCTCTGAACGCATGCGTGCTGGACGATAGGGCAAACTTTACCGTCATTTCTCTGCCATCATGAGGTGGAACTGCTAGAGCTACATGCTCACTGACCAGGGGTCACCCAGGAGCAATACGTACAATCGGTTGCCAGCCTCTGGGGGCTTGACGGTAAAGCCGGTCGCATTGCATAATGAAGACGCATACGCCAAACGTCGGGCCAGTGGAGCACGCCGTGGTGATGGCCTGAACATACCTTCGCAACCCACCAAGGTGATTCATCAGAAATTGCCGGAAGCGGGTGGCGTCCCAACTGGAAGGGGCCGTGTTATGGAGCGGGCAATCCTTGGAGGTCTTTCTTTGCCAGCATCGGAGTGGCCTGGCAGGTAGGATTGCAACTGTGTGACCACCTCATCATACTGCGAGACAAACCCGATTTGCTGTCAGCAGTGATCGCATGACCAAAGGTGAGGACCAAATCCACCAGTAGCATATCCAGAAGGCGACTTTGGCCAATTGAACCAATTGGTTCTGTTGCTCACTGATCCAGCGGCAAGTCTCAACCCACCGCCCTGACGCACTGCGAAGAAGCCTGGAAAGCAAGCAGTCATGGAGGTCCATCGGGCAAGATTAAACGGGCGCCTCTTTACTACATTAGCAGCCAGCGAGCGTAAACGGAGTCGTGACCACAAAGAAGCAACCGCAAGCGCAGAGGCCCTTATTGCAAGACAACTCAACGCAAGGCCAGCTAAGTGAGACCAATGAAAACAAGAACCGGCACCGATCACTCAGCTGCCCGACACCCATAGCAATGCTGCGCCACGTCTGGTACAAACATTAAGCGAAAGAATGGTAGGCCGCAAGGCAAGGAACTCAAGGAACCTCTGTCACCTAAACTGCTCAACGAGTCCGTAGTAGACAGTCCCCACACAAGCGCCAGGGCCGCAGCCGTAGTAAAAGCATATCAGTACACTTCTTGCGGTTGAGTTGACAAGTAAAATGCGAATGCAGAAAGCAAAGTGCAAATGCACACCAGACAAGCTTACAGACGCATGGCGGCCCTGCCCTATAATGCCCACCTTGCCACCCTAAGAACCTTCCAAGTCCCAGCAGACCAATGGGCAGAAGCCAATCCCCTAGCCCGAATACGTCGAGAGCTCCTCGACCTCGAGCAGCGAGTTAACCGCCTAGAGAGGACCCTGCCCCCCTACGTTAAGCCCGATCGCTCCCCGCCCAGGTGATCATCCGCAGCACTCGTGGCTTCAAGCGCGCTGCCATCAGCTTGCATCCTTGGGCCCAGGCATGATAGGCGAAATTGCCATGGGATCCAACGGATCTTCTCCCCTGGCTTGAGGCTGTGGTGGACTAGGCTGAGTAGGCGGATGCTGGGCATGGAATCCTGGTCGAGCAGCTCGCCAGACTAATTGGCTTTGAACTTGTCGATCATGTCTTGCACTGCTTCTTGTGTTAGGCGTGGGGGCAGGGCCGGCCTCCGACAACTGGGCTTTTTTGTGGCACATGTCCAGGGCGCGTCGGAGGCGGGCGATTTCGACCGACGTGTCCAAGTCTCCCAAAATTGAGAGACTGATGAGTGGCTTCTGGCAAGGTTGTGACGAAAGCTGCTAGGCGATCCACGCTGGGGAATGCCCAGGCAAAATCAGCAATGGTTTGGTAGCCCTGATCTGACAGGGCAGTACACAGCAAGGAGTTAACACGGCACTCCCTGAGCAGATCCTGGAAGGCATTCGGGCAGTCCATGGCAAGGAGCGGGGACTGAGGGAACGCGTGGAGGGTACCGAGTTTGTCGACGATAGCAAATGCGCTGCACGTGCGGGGGCGACCCACTGTGTGCATACCTCTCGAGCGCTGGAGCTGACGTCATTTTACGGTGAAGCAGTCCCACACATAGGTGTTGGCGCCTATATGGGCAATCTTTACGTGGACAGGTCGTGTATGCACCGCTCTAAGTTCTACGCGGTGGCGCGTGCTCGCCGGAGCATCAGATGCCGGGGACTCCTGATCCACTGAATTGACAGAAGATGCAGTTGGCTCGATTCACAGGATGGAAGCGCGTCGTAACCACATGGATGCCACCGGGAGC